CATCATACCAAATACACACATGCACTCATGCACACTTATCACTTTCTTGTACTCATACAATTGCTTTTATATGAATCACAGAGTTATTTAAGTAAGCACTCTCACTGATCTAGAAATTAGTTACCATTTATATGAACAAGATGTGCCAACCACTAATTGCAGGACGTCCCAAAGCAAGACTCCACGCTTGAAACCTTTCCCCGGCCTTTGATGGACCGCCTTAAATAAACCACAGGAGCCATTTTCTAATTGTCTAGCTCCAGCTCCTGTGTGGACTGGAACTCCTCTTGAGGGGACTGGGAAATTAACGTCCTTGTCCTTGAGGGACAGATTCAGTGGGTGTCACCTGCATCACGGTGCTGTGGTGCACAACCCTCTTAACACAGGCGGTGCTGTTTATCACAGTAAGTACCTGCAGACACACCGGAGGGTGTGGACAACCACTATGTTAAGGTCTTTGCTTATAATCTTCACAATTGAACGACTCTTCCAGATTCTTATCCTCTTTAACAGATGGTAAGTTTGAGGCACAGAATGGCTAAGCAACTAGACCAAGACCCCACAGCTGGCAAAGTCAGGTCACAGCTGAACTGGGGCAGTTTCTGTAGGCACTTGCTCAAGTGAAGGCTCTGGACTCATACTCAGAGAGCATGCCTAACAGATTTGGCAAATGCCTGTGGGTTGATAAACCCTGCAGAAAGACAACTTCAGGATGAGAGGTTTAAAAACCCAGCTTCTCCCAGAGCCTAATTGCTAATGAGTTCCTAGAGGACACAGCAGAGGGGCTCTATGGCTAAGAGATTGGCAAAAGGATCATGTTCATTGCCAACGGAAAAGCAATGCATAAAGGGGTGGGTTTGGACAGCTCTTTGCTGGAGGTGTGACCATAACCAAGCCCATTGAGCTCTCTGGTCTGCTCCTTTAGTCCATTCAGGCTGCTATTCAAATTACCACAGACCGGGTGGCTTATAAACCACAAACATTCATTTTGCAACATCCCGGGGGTGGGGGGCATTGGGGTCTAAGATCGTGAACAGGTTCTTGTGAAATCTCCTCCTAGACGGTGAACCGCTGACTCCTCCCCATGCCTTCCTATGAAATGAGGGATAAGGACTCACTTTAGTGTCTCCTCTACAGGTGGACCTGCACTTTACAATATTGTGCTTTTCAATATCACCGTTCTCTATGGCAGCATTCTTTCTCTCCACAGCCACAGGGAATAGAAAGAGCAGTAGATTTGAGTTAAGAGGAAACCCTCCTTGAGGCCAGCTCTGTTGTAGGAGTCTGTGTTGCTGTTGGCCAATGTCTTGCCCTCTCTGAGTCTCGGTTTCCTCATTTGTAAAGCAAAACAGGACAGAGAAATGATGTAGGCAGAAAGCACTTTGGATTTCAAATACGTGTCTAGTGTGTGTTATTGTTGATGTTATGAGAGCAAGGTGGGAGCCTGTACCCCTGAACTGGTCAGATGATTTCACTGTGATAGGAACAGCCATGGAAACAGGAGACCAAAGGGAGAAAATCACCACAAAGATCAAAATCCATGGGAATGCCTTTCTCTTCTGGGGATTTGACCACTACTCCTCATTCATTCCCCGTTTAACCCATAATGCCCCATTTGGGTATTTTCTTGGTTGACAATTCTCTATGGCATGGAGCCACACAGAAGGTGATGATTTTTTTCCCGTTCACTCTTGTAGGAAAATGCCGTTATTTCTAATCACATCTCTGGAAACATCCCGCAGCCTGCGTGGAAGAGACGGCTGAAAAAATCTATGACTTAAGCAAAACAAAGAATGTCTGGGATATTGATATTATTTCAATTGAGTCCTGACCAAAGACAATTCAAATAGTTGCAGTGAGGATATCTGTGGAGTTGGGGAGCCTTCTTGCACTTGACATTGTCCCTGTGTGCCTGATTACAATATACACAATTACACAGAGGACACAGTATGCCGATTTGCCCTGCTTACGACTGCTGGGCAGGGATTTCTCAGTGTCACCAGGATCCCGCCTGCACCCTTCAGTGTGTCTGCAGGCACTTACTGTGATGAACAGCATTGCCCGGTGCAAAGAGGTTGTGCACCACAGCACCGTGATGCAGGTGACACCCACTGAATCTGTCCCTCAAGGATATTAATTTCCCAGTGCCCTCAAGAGGAGGGAGTTGTGCAGTTCTTTCTTTGAGTTGCCACATTTCTTTCAGGAAAAAAAACAGGAGAGCACAGAAATGTCACCACCGTGGAGGGATTCTAAGCATGAACGCCAGTTTCTGTTTTTCTCAGCCATTCAGATTTTAAATTTAAAACTGCAAAACATTTAAATTCAAAATCGTTTGAATCTTATCACTTTCATTCATGTTTGCTATTTTTAAAAGTTTAGATAAGAACTACTATGTCATTTTAATTTTAACATTTCTCCCTCGTTCCCATTCAGTGTGATGCCAGGAAAGATTTTCCTGAGATAGAAAGCATTCTCCCACCTTCTTAAACATGTTTGTTTCATTCCTGATTCACCCCCTCAATTCTTTCCCCCTTTCTCTTATGCTTTTGAAGTCACATTAATAGTCTACAAGAGATCATAGCCATCTGCTTTTCTTATAGGCTTGACATGATTTGAATTATGTTCTAGCTAGTTGCTTCTTTTCATGACATTAATAACATCCTGTGACCATGTCATATATTGGTTTATCATCTATTATAAATATTGGACACCTGGCATTGTGAATCTGTTTGGTATGCCTTGGCACTCGAGTTGGGGAGTCTCATTTTTTTTCATGAGCCAGATCAGTAGTAAATATTGACTTCCCGGTTCATTGTGACCCTTCATTATTCCTTGTATTGCACAGTTGCCGGCTTATTACCCGATGTTGCTAAGAAGCCTAGATTTGAGGCTCTTCCAAGTCAAATCCCAAGAACACATTTACATTTGCTTGCCAGCTTCTATTGTCAAAAAAAAAATCAGTTTTGCCTAACCTCCCACTAAGCACTTGGTATGTATTTTCTCATTTAACACTCAACAAAACAGCAAGCTGAGTATTATTATTATTATTACTGTTAGGCCATCAAGTGCACAAGAAAGTGCATTGTTCCCACAAGCCAGTGTTATGATATCTTGAGAATCTATCATATGGATCCCAGACCTCAACAGGGCCTTCCACACAGGCTGGGAAGGCAGTATCTGCAACCAAAATGCAGTTCTAGGGATTCTGCCCATTCACCCCACACAGGAGAACAGGAGAACGTGGCTTCTAGTAAGAAGGATGAGCCTCCCCATCTGCCTCCTCACATGGGCTGACCCCAGTGGAAACAGAGGCTGAACAAACTCTGGTCTCCTTAGTGGCCCAAGAGAGGTGCTTGTCCTCATCTTCTCCAAAATAAAGTGTGTTGAATGGGTACCTGAGTACAGAGCACCATGCAAGCACTCTGCCTGTTTTCTCTATTTGAACATCACCTCTGCAAAGCAGCAACATTGCCCCCCACCCTACCCTTAGAAAAGAGGAAATCAATTCGGGCAAGCACATGGCTTATCTCAGCCCATGCAGCTCCAGAGTGTTTTTTTTTTTTTTTTACATATGGCTTTGTCCAAACTGGAAGACAAGCCCATTTCCCTCTTGCCTAGGATCCCTCAGCCACCACTCAGAATGCAATGGGATTTCAACATTTCCTAGAAGCCCATGTGCCAATGGATGCTCCCTATCCCGGCAAGGTGTATTTGTGTCCCTCAGTGTCTCCCTTCAGAAATGTTTATAAGAGCTGAGAAAAACATCAAGACCATTCTTCTAAAATGCTCAGGGTTCTAATTTCCCCAGAACCTTTCCCCAGACTTCCCACAAGACACAAGTTGAGGTTCCAAGAGCATAGGGTAAAGCCTACAGAATAATTGACATTTCCAAGAAGGGAAAACAAATATCACCAGATCCCCCGCCATTTCTTCCAATGCATGGAGGATTGAAAGGAGAATTTTGTTTTAATTATTTTATTCACACTGACTGTGCACAGAGGCTTACCCACCCTGTGCCCAGGAGAGAGAGAGAAAAAGAGGATGAGATGGACAGGATTTTGTCTCCTTAAAAAAATCCAGACACCTCTACATGCTACTGCATCGTTGTTCCGGGATGTCTGCTGTCCTTGCTTAGGGCTTGTAAGACCATTAGCTGGAGCATGGGGTGGCCCTCAACAAAAAGAGTCTGTTTCTCTCTGACACCCTGGACAACTGCAAAGAGGGTCAGTGGTTACACAGCAGGTGCACCTTTATTTTGATTCTGTTTCAGATGGGGTAACACTGCTTATGTGAATAAGAAATTATCTGTAGGGAGCAGAACCCTGCAAGCCTTTGAGAGAGAAAGATGATTAAGGGGAAAATCCAGGCCACCTGCTGAATTTCAGTGGACCACTCAGCAGCATCTTGTCATTTACTTGCTCCCAATTATTGAGCACCTACTGCATGCCTGACCCTTTATAAAATCAGACCTCCTATTTTATTTATATTTTACTCCAGTCCCGTGGGAAGATGCTAGTAGCTCTCCTTCACCTGCGGAGCACACCGGGTCCCTGAGCCCCACAGCCTCCTCCTTCCCCACCTCACTCCACAGCCCCTAGGGCTCTATGTGCACAGGAACGAGCCTGGAAATCAATTTCCACTCACTTGGTTATGCTGCTATCATGGCTCAAAGAACATGTGCTAAAAAAAAAAAAAAAAAAAAAACATTCAAAGTTCCAGATTCTTTGTTGTACTTGTTGCTCAGAGAAGACTCCAAAGAATTAGGCTGACCTAGGTTGGTACCTAATTTCTTAAAAAGTTCCCATAGCACCCCCACCACCTGCACACACTAGATGTTCAGCTGTCTCCTCTGGAAGTCTTAGCCTTCCTTCTGAAGGAGAGGGAGTCAGACAGGTAGAGCCAACTGCAAAGCACCCACCCCGACCCCCAGGTCTGCAGCCTTCCAGGATGTGGACGCTAAGGTCTGGCCCTGAGCCATGAGGACAAAGAATCGTACTCACAGGCAGCCGGGAGTTGCTTCTCTCCGTCCGCTCTCTCTCTCCCTTCTCCTTGGTGACAGTTAAAAGACACAGAGGATGCGATTGCCATTTATGTAGACAAAGTGTCCGCCTCCCTGAAGCCAATCAGCGCAGCTTGCTCTGCATTATTTACCCAGAGCATCTCCCAGCACCTCCTGCCCCCCACAGGATGTGAGAGTCATCCAGGAGCCTGGCAGGACGAAGTGGAACAGTGCAGTCTGTGGGGGCTGTGGAAGTGGCCAGGGAAATATGAGCCCCGAGTTCCTGGTCCTTGTATGGGATTCAGGGCCAGCACTCCCGGGCACTCTTCTGGCTACTCAGAAACCACAGGCTCCATTCCATGGGTAAATAAATGGTCAGCCCCGCATGAGGAGCCCTTCTCGGGATCTGCTCCTTCTGTGAGAGACTACTGTGACTCTCCTTAAGCAGGAGGGAGAGAGATGCAGGGTGCCAAGCTGCTTCCTGGATCAGAAAGTGAAGCCAGGAGCAGATTAGGATTTGAACCCAGGATCATCTCACTCCAAGCCCTGTTCTGTGACCCTTCAGCCTGCTGATATTCAAAGCAGCACTTATCTCTCCTCTGCCCGTGGGCTATAATGGGAAGAAGCATCCAGGCTGACAGTGCAATTCAAGGGGCTGAATTTAGTTTCTCTTTAATGTGCACACAATCATGTGAGCCTAGCAAAGGGTCTGGGTTGTGCAGATGAGGAAGGGTGGAGAATAGGAATCAAGTCAGATAAGCAGCAGCATGCAGGTTCCTCTGTCCCACACTCACACATGCATGCACACACATGTGTACATATGCACACATTTGCCATACATGCACTAAAGCACATATGAGTACACTTTAACACATGCTTGTACACACACACACAGGCACAACACATATACATGTTCAGGGCCATAGCATAGTCCTGAGTCCACGAGGAGAGTTATCCAACTCCAGCTTTAAGCAGCATCTCTGCACAGGAGCAGGAGCCAGGATGCAGGTGAGCCCTCCCGGGCATCAGGACTCACAAGGCAGCAGGGCTGCAGTGCCAGGAGCAGGGAATGGCTGAGGATAGCTGAGAGGACCTGGCCTTACCAGTCGGGTGGACAGCAGCCACATGGAGCAGAAAGGCATAAGGGGATTAGGCTGGTCTGCACAGATGGGAGCTCCTGAGCACCCCAGGCGCCACCATCAGGGTGAGCTGGGAACAGAAAGGAGGATGGCTCACGCTCCCCTATGGAGCTCAGCCCTGACCACAGAGGAGAGGCAGGACTGGAGCTGTGCAGGAAGAGCCAGTATCAAGCTGAACAAATTGTCTCCTAAGCGAACACCTCCCTGTCCTGAGGTGCAAAGGCAGCCCAGGCTTGACCTTGCTCAGGTACCTGTGATCAAGTGGGGAACTTGGAGTGCAGGATTGACCAGGAGCTTGGGGGACTCCATCAAGCTAAATGTGTGCACACAGGACTCCAGTGGGTTGTTGAAGAGCACATAGCTCTATCCAGAACAGGATACCAAAAAATACTGGCTACACACAAAAGCCCAGGTTATGGTGAGGAGTTGGATACAAATGCCTAGACCCGGGGAGTGGTGCTGTGAGTGGAAACTTCCATTTCATAAAGAGTCACCATAATAATGCCTTGCATTTTAATTAGCATAAGATATATCCCATGTTTGTACATTTATGTCAAAGTAGATTCTACTGTTATGTGGTAGGTGCAGGACAGGCTGAGTAAGCTGTCTGCAGGGCATGCCAAACAAAGTTAGCTGCAGGATGACCTGGCCACTCAAACCCTTTGTCTGATTCTTTATCACCTGTTTGCTTCAAGCCCAAATGCCCAAGCCCTTGCTCAAGGCTGAGCACTTTGCCCCCCTGCTCAAGGCTGAGCACTTTGCCCCCCTGCTCAAGGCTGAACACTCAACCTGCTGCTCAAGGCCAAGCGCTTAACCCCCTTGTGTGCCAACAAGGCAGCTTGCAAACCCAGAGACCCTGTTAGATTTAGGCAGCACAGCAGAAGGGCTATAAAAGCCTTCCCCAACTGCCCCTCCCACTTCTTTCCTTCTTTCTTTTCTCTTTGTTGCACTGCTGCAATAAAGATCTCTTGGTTGCTCTAAGGGTTGTGGTCACTTTCCTTTCATTGGTGCCGAAAACCCGGGAGAGGGTTAAAACCCACTTTTGGGTCCCTCTTTCTTTGGAAGTGCCACTCCCTGGACAGCCTGAACCCATTTTCTCAATTGCCAGAACTCCCTCCACCACCGGCCTTCGATTGGTGAGTTTCCCCTTCCTGGAGTCCTAAACCCAATGGTGGTGTCAGGAGGATTTGACCGTTGATTGTCCAGCAAACCTCTTTGCCCACCTGCGGGGAGGAAAACACCCCACCACAGCCTTCAAGGCTACCGTGGCCCTCAGGGACTCCTTCCTAGGGCAGATTAGACTCCTGGGTTCAAAATTATTCCCCTTCCCTTTCCCAGCTGGTAAAGCCTATAGGCTTTGTAGGTCTCCCTCATAGGACTGTGTAACCTCCAAGGACACATAACAGAGAACTGAACATCACACTCCACCCAGACCTTCACGGTCTCGGTGGCTCTCCTAAAGTCCTAGTCCTCACCTTCAAGACTCGGCCGCCGGAGAGAACTTACCCTCCCCTTCCTCTCTCTTCCCCTGTCTCTCTCTTTCCTCTCTTTCCGGCCCTGGGAGTATCCGGCCTCTCCAGGAGGGGTCCCGAAAAGCCTTGGCCAAGGTCTCCCAAGGCTCCACCTCCATCCAGGACGAGAGCTTCCACTGTCAGGATTCGGTGACGACCAATCTCTGCAGCTCCAACCTGCCACTAAGGCACTCCTGATTTTTGGCTCTAGCGGGGACGCCCCTTTTGCCAATACAGCAGTTTCCTCCTTCTCTCATACTATCTTTGCGTCCTCTTCCCTCCTCCTTATACTACATTTGCGACATGGGTATTGTGTCCTCTCTGCCGGTCGACTCTCCCCTACAATGCCTCTTGGATAACCACAAAACCCTCTCCTTGACACCAGACATTAAACCCCCAAAATTGACCAAATATAGCACCCAAGCCTGGCCCACTTATCCCTTAGATAACCAAAGCAGATGCCCCCCTTTTGGGTCCCTAGATCCCTCCATTCTAAGGGATCTCTACAATTACTGTGAGCATTCGAAAAAATGGGTAGAGATGGCTTATGTCCAGGCTTTCTTCTTGCTCCTTTCCAATCCTGCTCTCTGCACCTCTTGCAAACCTCTACAAATTCTTCTAGCCTACAAACCAACCCCCCCCACCGATCCCCAACTTTCTCCTTCTCCGTACTCATCCACTACTTTTGACCCTGCGGATGAACCTCCACCCTATCGCCCAGCTCCAATAGATTCTCACCCTCAACCTTCTGCCCCAGACTCTCCGCCGTCACCCTCACCTCAGCAACCTGACTTCTCCCCTCCACTCAACTAGGTCAAAAACCCAAACCAATGCCCTTCCTCAAATAATTGCCCCCTCGCGTGAGGTAGCAGGTGCTGAAGGCATTATCTGAATACATGTCCCCTTTTCTAAGGCTGACCTCTCCCAAATTGAAAAACGACTAGGCTCATATACTACCAACCCAGTTGTATATACCAAAGAATCCCAGTATTTAACCCAGGCCTATAGCCTCACCTTCCATGATGTCTATATGATCCTCTCCATACTTTACTTCCTGAGGAGAGAAGATGGGTTTGGGAACAGGCTCGCACTCATGCAGACGAGATCCATCAGACCAATCCGGCACATCCCATTGGGCCCCAAGCAGTCCCAGACAAGACCCCTCTGGGACTACAACACCAATAACGGCATCACAAACGGAGATCATTTCACCACTTGTATTCTGGCAGGCCTAAAAAGGGCAGCCACAAAAGCAGTTAATTTTGAGAAATTTCAGGAAATTATCCAAGATAAACATGAGAACCCATCAGCCTTTCTGGACCGCCTTACTAAGACTCTCCTGCAATACACTAATTTGGACCCAGAAACCCCTGATGGCTGACAGTTACTGATGAATTATTTCTTTGCCCAAAGTTTTCCTGATATTCGGATCAAACTTAAAAAATTAGAACGAGGCCCCTCACTCCCCAGACCGAGATTCTTGCTACTGCTTTTAAGGTCTATCACAACCAAGAGGAGAAGGCTAAATGCCTAAAGTGCCAAACGCTGGCTCCAGCTCTCTGTGGGCCCTCTCAAAACTCATCTCCCATGTGGCAAGACCATCCCCTAAAACCAGAACCTCCTGGGGCTTGCTTTAAGTGTGGACAAGAAGGACATTGGAGCAGAGCCTGCCCCAATCCAAGGTCACCTACTAGACCCTGCCCAAAATGTTCCATGATAGGCCACTGGGCTTCAGATTGTTCTCGTGCCCGAAGGGGTGCACGGTCAGGCCCTAGCCGCCCCCATAATCTCATGGGACTAGCCACTGACGATTGATGGGGCCTCAAGACTCCTGTCCCAACAAGTCCAATCACCACGCAGGAACCCAGGGTCCAAGGGACGGTTGGTGGTCACAAAATTCTCTTTTTAATAGACACTAGAGCAACATTCTCGGTCTTACAGGAGTTTTGGGGATCCTTACTTCCCTCTCAGTCCCCTATTGTTGGGGTAGGTGGACAAGTAATATATCCCGAAACCACGCCACCCCTACCCTGTTTATTTTCAGGCCACTCATTCTCACACTCCTTCCTGGTGATGCCCCCAATGCCCCATTCCCCTTTTAGGCAGAGATGTTCTATCTAAAGTTAAGGCCATGATTTCCTTTCTGCTGTTTCTACCATCCTCCCTCCCCTCAGTTATAGCCGTGGCTGCCCTACAGGCTACACCAGATGATCCCCTTCCGCTTCCACAAGACCAAGTGAACCCATTGGACTGGGACCCAGAGACTCCATCCCTGGCTAAATGTCCCCAGTTGAGGTTCACTTAAAAAATACCTATCACATTCCAAATAAGCCTCAATATCCCCTCCCGAGGTCCAGTCAAAAGGGACTACAACCTATCATTTCCAGCCTTCTTAAAAAGGGCTTCCTTAGGCCCACACATTCACCATAGAATACTCCCATTCTTGCAGTCAAAAAAACCCAATGGGACTTACCGCCTGGTCCAGGATCTTCGTCTCGTGAACGAGGCAATTAAACCTATCCACTCACTAGTTCCAAGCCCATACACTCTCCTATCCCTTATTCCGGCCTCAACTTCCTATTTTTCTGTTATAGATTTTTTTTACGATTCCCTTGGCTCCACCTTCCCAAGACCTCTTTGCCTTTACCTGGACAGATCCAGATACTCAACAATCTCAGCAACTAACATGGACTGTCCTCCCTCAAGGCTTTAGAGACAGCCCGCACCTCTTTGGTCAGACATTGTCCGCCCGATCTAAAG